ATTCGCCTTATGACCGAGGGAAACCACGAAAACCCCGGTCAGGATGGTCGTCCCTGGTATCGAACCCGGACCCCCCGATTGTGAATCCAGGGCGCTACGCATTGAGACACTTTGCTCAGTAATAATAATTATATTATTATATTGTATTAAAACAAATGATTTATGGTATTTGCTTTTACCTCATTAAATTGGTCGAGCCAAAATGTTGATAAAATCGTCTTTCTCTTTTTGTTTAGAAACGAAATATACATGAACAGAGTAACACTATTAGGTTTTTTTGATATATTTGGTTTTGAATATTTTCGTTTTTAATTTAATTGTAATTTACATGCACCGAACAAAAATGTTGATTAAATTGAAGCATTCTAAGCACAATAAGGTGTCAAACATATTTTTTATTTATGTAATCTATCATTTAGAGTAGATAACTTTGTATTTTAAACAACTCGAACTTCATTTATCCAAGTGAGTAGCGGAGAAACACGCCTTGATACAATTTTGGAACTCATCAAAATTAATTTATTATATAATTAATTTCCATTCATTATATACATATGGGTGATAATATATCTTCTTTTTATCGATTACACCATTTCTTGAAACACAAAGCATTCCCAGTAAAAAACCTTCCTTTGATACATTAATTTATTACATATCTTTCATTATTCTTGCAAACTAAACACCTTGCAGATGCTTCCAAGTCAAATTATCATGCAAATGTGCAATAAGGCATTCGGTTCGCCCTCTGCCCTTTTGTGTCTCTCCTGTGAAAATTACGCTTTGAGAAAGGCTGCGTTCTTTAACAGGCCATGCATTCTTTTATATTACCTCGTGCCTTAATTTTTAGTGTTTTCTGTTCTTTGTAAGGACTCAGAATATTTATTTTTGTTGCGCGTGCTTACTAATGAAAGCTACAGCACACACCTCTCGCTTTTTAATATTTTTTAATATACTTCAGAGCGTTTTGGAATACGTGTGTGTTGGCATGGAACATGTTTTGGTAGATTTATGTATAGTCGCTCGCCTCTCGTCCATTTTAATTTAATAGGCACACCGCATTGCCCCACCATCAGCCGTCAGACAACACGAATGTAAACACAAACAAAACAATGAAATTATTGTATGCTCGTCGAAATCCTGCGCTCAAATATTTTTTACTTTGATGTGTGAACAGGTAAGAAAAATTCAATGCGAGTAAATAGCGATCATCATTTGTTCAAGCCCAAGCGGCATTCCTGTTGAAAGGGTGTATCTCTAATATTGTAATTTTGGTTTGTGATTTGTCTGTTTGTGATTGCTGGATGATTGCGATTGCTACCTTGCATTTGTGATATTATAAATCCCATAGTAATGAAAGGAGTTTTAGAGTCGAATGTATTTAAACCCTGGCCCTTTTCTACGCCGTCGTTTCTTTGAAGCGATCTCTACTCTTAACGGTCAGCACGTTTGATTTTCAGCTCTGGGCACCACAATAGAGTTACTGCATTTCAATCTGAAATTAACTATGGACACCAAATAATCGCGACACGATTTTCAGAGGGATTCGGCTGCGAAATTATTTCACTAATTCCTTTCCTTTTTATTTAAGTGTTTCTCTTGTATTTTGACTAAAATACTGCACTTTGCTAAGTCGAATTACGCTCTGTACATATTATGGCGAATGGTAATCAGTTCGAAAAACTTCTGACTAAAATAGTATCATCCAGTATCACATGAACGAGAAAATGAAGGGTATATTGTGTTTCGAAACCATTTGATACTAGACAAATACCAAAGGCTGTAGATATCATTTCATACTATGCAATTCATCACTGTTCATTTGAATTCAAGGAATTGACATGTGCCTTTTATTAATAACGAATATCGTCAATTCGCTCTTACCTGGAGGGCAATAATGAGAATATTTTGCGCTTTCGTCCGTAAATGTCCCTACACATACATAGGGAAAGAGTTTTGTAATAATTCTGCTGTAAAATGTTTATGTTAGGTCTAATACATTAAAATGTATGTAATATTTTATGGAATAAAATTATACCTCAAATATTTATATTAAATTCAAATTATGTATTTAATTTGTCCTATTATTCTGTGAACGTCTTTTTTAAATATTTTTAATACGTCTGAGAAACAACTTGAAAATAACAACTTGAGTATTCATGAGTATCTACTGTTTTTAATCTACAAGGCAAAGTACGGGTATTTTTTGTTAAAAATTTATACTCACATGTATTTACTGATGAACATTTACGAGTCTTTTAAATAAATTCACATAGTTCTATGCGCTACAGCGTGAGGAATTACAAAACGAAATTTATTTTCATGTGTGAACTCAACTATGCATAAAACCGTCAGCGGAGTAGATGATATTATGTCAAACTGCATGAGACTCTGTGGTTATTCAGGCCGAGAAAAGTTTAGTAAATAATTGACCTAACAGAAGACCATCATATAGTTCGAATTATTTAGTGTCCTTTGACAGTTCATCTGCTGTTACTGTGTCATCCAATCTGGAGCTTGAACGTTACCGTAGTGACGTTTAAGCCCGCGATTGAAGGACACCCTAACAGCTGATGATCTGTCTAAGGGCACTGTAAATACGAGAAAATAGAA